AAAAAAAAAAAAAAGGAAGAAAGAAAGAAAGAAATCTTTGAAAGAAGGAAAGAAAGAAAGAAATACGCGGAGTGGGAAAGGCGAACAGGGACGCGGCGGCGGCGGCGGGGCGGTGGGCGCGGAAGCCAGTCGCGTGTGCGTGGGTCCGGGTGTGCGTGAGTGTGAGTGCGAGTGCGTGTGTGTGCGTGTGTGTGTCCGCGGCGCGGGCCGGAGCACTCACCATCTCGCCGGGGGAGCGAGGCCACTTCGGGGTCGGATTGGAAATGTTGAGGCTTCGCTTGCTTCCTCCGCGACATGCTGGCTCAAACATCAGCTGGGGCAGAATAAAAAATTACTAAAAAAAAATCTTCTCAAAATTACGGAAATCGAGCGGCGGCGGCGGCGGCGGCTCCCCCCGCCCGCCGGCCCGCCCGCCCCCTCCCCGGCTCCCCGGCCCCGGGCGCAGCGCGCATGTGTCCTGCTATAATTATGATTATCAATAATGCATTGCGATTAATCATAGAGGGGCTCTTTGAAAGGCGATTGGCACCGGGCCAGCGCTATTCAAACCCGCTCGCCTTAATCAATTAGTTCGTGATTTGCTGCAGACCCCTGTCTCTCCGCGCGCTGGCCCAATAAGCCGGCCGCGGGGCTGGCTCTGCGCGCCGCGCCGCCCGACACTGGGTTAACCCTCTTCGCGACCGCCCGGGACTCCGCGGCCCGGCCGCCGCGGGCCTGCGTCCTCGCCTCTGCGCGCCCGTCGCCCGGGCCCGCGCCCCCCCCTCCCCGATCCCTCCCCCCCCCATCCCGGGCTGGGCCGACCCGAATTAGCATGCCCTCCCCGGAATTAAGCCTCCCGGGTGGGGGGTGGGGCCGGGCGGCGGGGGCTGGAGACCCGGGCTGCGGGCGCGCGGCGAACTTCCCAACTCCGGCGCTAGGCGCGCCGGCCCGCGGGGGGAGGGAGTCCCGTGGCGGGATTTGGGGGGAGGAAGTCCCGTTTCGTGAGTGTTTCTTCGTTTCTTTAAGAGCTACCAGAAAGCAGCCCACCCCCACCCCATAAAAAAAAAAAAATAAGCGAGTGGGGAAGAGCCAGCCCCACGCCGGTCCGCCTCCCGCCCGCGGCCCGGCCTCCCTCCCGCTCGCCGCCTGGCTCGGCGCTCCTTCGCCCCGAGTTCTCCATCCCCTGGATCGCGGGCTCGCGGGGGCGCGGAGAAGAGGACAGAGGAAAGGTTTGGGAACGTGATGGGTTTGGGGCTTTTGGAGGGGGGAGGGGCAACTCTCCCGCCACCCCGTTCCTTCTCAAAGGGCCCCGATCCTCCAGCCTCTCGTTGCTCCCCGGTTCCCTTTCTCTACCTCGGACATTCCCAGGACAATTAGGGCTGAAGTTTTCGGGAGAAGCAGCCCCGAGCCCGTGGGATAAGGGGCGGCCCGGCTCCGCCCAGGACCCCTCCCGGACCTCCCTCCCGGCTGCCCCGGTTGGCTGCAGGGCGCGTCACTCCGCGGGGAGGCGGCGGCGGCGGTGGCGCCGCCGAGCCCGGGGCGGGCGGAGAGCAGGGACCGGCCTGGGATCCGAGTTCAGCTCCAGCCGGGGGGAGGGGAGGGGCCGCCGCTTACCCTGAACGCTGCAACCCGCCCCTGGCCTCGGGAGGCGCGGCCCAGACCGGCCGGGCCTTGGGCAACGCCAGCCCCAGGACCCCTGGGCTCTCCGCCCTGGGGGAGGGGGCCGCGCCCCAGGCTCCTGGCAACCAGGTGGCCGTGCTGAGCCGGGAATGGTGGCGGCGCGCGCGGGAGGGGGGGGGACGGGGGTGTCCGCAGCTGTCTGGCCCGGCGGAGGCTCGCCTCCATCTCTCTGCACTTGCCGAGCGCGGCACCCAAACTTTTCGCACCAGCTCCATCTCCCCAGGCTGGGATGCAGCCTCCCTACCCGCACCCCGGGGTCCGGAGTCCGGAGCCCGGGTCCCGCACTCCCTCCGCTGGGCTCGGGCGCCCGCGAACCTGAGGCTCAGTCCTCTGCTGAGCCTGGCTCTTTCCCCTTGCGCCTCGGGGTCTCCTCGCTCCCAGGTTTCCGAAGTCCTGCGCCCGAAGGACAAACCAAACTTCGTTGAGTAATGGGGGAGGTGGGGGGGGGGTGCAGATACACAATCCCTGCCCTATCTCGCTATCAGGAGAGGAGAGGGCTCATAAGGACGCCCCAATTCGGGAGCGCCCTGGAGTCTGCTGAGCACCACGGTCGGTTCGCGCGAAGTGGGCACCGGTCTTTCGAGTAGAGTTTCGGGGGCTCGGGACCCTTACCGCTCTCCCCCAAACGACTCTTCTCTCTTAGCTACGTTGGTCCTTGGTCCCCCCCCCCCTTAATTCTCTTAATTCTAAATCTTTTGTGTGCGGGTGACTGAATATTTCTGTTTTCCTCCTGGCGACCTTTTTTTTTTTTCCCCCTTGGTGTAACTTCTCCCTTCTTATTCCTCTTCTTCCTTTCTTCACCTTTTCTCTTCTCTTATTTTTCCTCTCTTCTGCCCTCGCTCGGTCCCTGAAACACACACACACACACACACACACACACACACACACACACTACACTCCCTTTCCACTCGCTCTCCTCTTCTCCCCAGGTCCTGTTGGTTACAGTAGATTTTGATAAAAAGACAAACGAAGCTATCAGTGGGGCTGATGTTGAAGAATGAAGATAATAATGTTTCCATAGGTGGTGCTTCAAATGCCATTATTTCTCACTGAATATTTAAAGAGATCCCTCGGCAAAGATTGATCTGCATGCTCCTGGGGTGAGAGCCGCTCGCTTTCCCCAGACCCCCGGGAAAGTGTACAGGAGCACGTGCAAATTGCGCACTCCCTCCCCCCCCCCTTGCAAAAACGGTAGTCCTCGCACACACCAGTCCGCAGTATCCCAGGTACACTAATGTGTCCGTGCATGTGCACTTGCACACTCGTTTCTCCGAATATGCCCGCGTTTGGAGCCGCCGCATGCGTCTCTAAGACTCTTGGCTTCTTGAAAGTCCGGGCCTCCGGGTCACCGCGTGCTGCCAGGAACCGAGCCGAGCTGGCGATCCCGCAAACCCGTCTCCCCGGTGCGCGCCGCGTGCGCCGCGGGAAGCCTCCGGAATAGCTTCACACGTGTTCGTTACTCGCTCTATATTTTATTAAGATTAAGGGCGGGGGGAGAATCTCCCCCCCCCAAAAAAAATACACCAAAACAAACAACCAAACGAAATGCATACGCAACAGCAGCTTCGCGATGTTTAACTAAAACTGGGCGAGCAGAGACCAATTAATTGGGGGGATCCAAACTTTAATAACTTTTTTCGTTCTTTTGCGTCCTCGACGGCGTAGAGGCGGGCGTCTCGCTCCGTGCGCAGCGTCGCCCGCTAATTTCTTGTTTGTTTTCTTTCCCTCTGTGGCCGGGAGAGAGGAGAGGGGAGGTGGGGGGGGGATGGGAGGAGGGGGATGGTCGGAATGGCGGGGAGAGGAGAATTGGTCTTTATTGTTGATGGCAATACATCAATTACGGGCCATTGTCTGGGGCCCAAGTTCCGTGGTTCGCTGACGCGGGCGCTGCGATGTCAGGGCGCGGGTGAGGCTTCGCGTGCCGCGAGGCAAAGAAATAATTAAATTAATGAAAACGGAGACAGTGGGGGTTGATTTTTACTTTTGAGCGGGTCGAGAGAAGCAGCGAGTGCGCGTGAGGTGCCAGCTGGAGCCCGTCCCCACGCCTTGCTCACCCTAGTGACCTGCGCGCTCTGTAGGGGGTCGCGCTGCCCCAGCCCAAGGTGGGGCAGTGCTGGGCGAATCGGGCCGACAGGGCTCGGACTTGCCCTTTCCACCAGAGGGCCTGGCACCTAGGGGCTGACCTACGTTAGGGAATGGGGGGTGGCCAGAAGAGTGGCTGCTGCGCCCGGGTCGTGACCTCGTGGGCCAACAGGAACCGCACCCGGGGGAGGAGCTTGGCGAGGTGGGCGAACTCACATTTTGGGGGCTCGATGGCTGTGTTTCTACTAATGCGGCTCCTTGGTTTTCCCGAGACCTAGAACGCCTTGGTGGGTTGGCGGACCGAAGGACTATGCCCCAAGGCCGCGGGCCACCGCGGCGTCCCCAGACAAGGGGTTTCCGAGCCGCCCCGCGTCAGCCCGACCCTGGGCAGGGGGTAAGGGCGTCGAGCTTCCCCTTTCCGAGGCCTGGTTCTCCCACCCGCAGAAATATCTCATGCCGGCCCAGTCTAACCCCAGGTTTGGGATGGGGCCTGGAATGAGGCCTGGCCTGCGCCCGGGACCCTCCTTCGCTTTCCGCCGGCGCTGGTTGAGCACCCCGGAACTAAAGGACGCTCCCAGCCTCTCTCACCACCCCCCCCCCCCACTCCCGGCCTCCTGCGGATGCCCCTGCTCGCTCAGCCCCAGGCCCCAGCCCCCGCGGGCCCCCGGGCAGGGCTAGGAGGGCACTAGGGGAGGTTTCGTTTTCTTCGGTCAAGCAAAAAGCGGCGAAAAGGCGGCAGCCGTGCCCCGGGGGCGGGGGGCGGGGGGTGGAGGCACATCGATGGTATCAGCATTATTGATGGGGAAACATTTGGGGCAGGAGCCCGGAGATCAGGTTCCCAGTCCCTCCTCTACCAGGAGGTGGGAGGGACGGAGTAGTGGTGGCGGTGGTGATGGTGGTTGTGTGTGTGTGTGTGTGTGTGTGTGTGTGTGTGTGTGTGTTGGGAGGGGACGCCTAGACGCTCCCACAGGAACCACTCCTAGAGTTTATTTGTATTTTTCTGGTCTGAAAGTTTTTTTCCTGGGGGGGGGGGGGTAGACAGAGAGAGAAAGGACCGATGCACTTCGTCACCCTAGTCCTTAGAACTTGCCCAGGGTTGAGGCTAGAGCAGTGGCGGGGGAGAGGGCAGGAAACATGACCCAGAGCAAAGATCAAGTTTGGAAAACCCACCGTTGGCTCGATGATTTTCCACGCCCCCGGGACCTCGCTTTCCCGAGAGTTTCAGAAACTCCTTCCTTAACCGAACGGCTGCCGCTCAAATCCTAACCCTCTCCTCCGCCACGGGAGAGGCTTCGAACCCGAGGCCTCGGGGAGCAGGTACCCCGGGTCCTGGCGGAGTCGACGCTGTGCGCCCTCGGCGCGCTCGCTCTCCAGCAGCGAAGTCCCGGCGGCGAAAAGGCGCACTTTCAGGGGGACTCCCGCCGCCCACAGCCAAGGGCTATCTCCAGACCGGCGCCGGGTGCAGCGCGGGGACCCGGCGCCCCGGCGCCGGCTCCGGCGGGACAGTCAGCCGTGGCGAGCGGAGGGCGGGCTTGGTAACCACCCGCACGCGTCCCAGCCGGAGGTCCGACC